AGTCACTGCTTCAGTCAATATCTGAACTTTAGTGGGTCTGCATAGTCCTTCCTTTCTATAGGCTGTTTCTTCCCTATACCTTCACATTAACCTACAAACAGCAGAATGCCCCACCTTCATTTTCCACAGCACACAGTCCTGCTTAGCCTTGCAGATCCTTCCCCCTCACTCCCCTCTGGACCCTCACAGACACCTCTCCAGGTGCTGCCCCCCTTGCCACTGCAGTGCACCAACCAACAGGGAGCCCTCCTCCTTCACGTAGCTGGGCTCTTTCTGGAGACATCTCAGACCACTTGACTGGAATCCAAGTGTTGCTCAGGCCTCAGTTACCATCCTGTTCACCTGGGACCTTATTCCCACACCTGGCCAGTTTCTTCCCAAGACTTGGCACATTTTCTTTGTGAAATCAAATGACATGGCTGTCATTTTGACTTAGAAAAGTAATAATTCCTCCTCATAGAAAATGTCTAACAGCTTTTTCCCAGCTATATCACACCCTCAAATAGTGAACTTGAACATCGGAAAAGTTTTCAGAAAAACAAGTAACAGAATATTTTGAAGGCTACGAAAACATCAGACAGTATTTCCTGGTTACACTCTGATAAGTTTCATTTTATTTGCATGACGCATTAGTAGATGTTTATTTCTTTAAAAGAAAAGGAAAACTCATAGGTACATTTTTTTTCCTACTGGCTAATTACATTTTTCTGCTTTGCTTCATGGGGGAAGTCTTTAAGTCATTGGAAATGGCACATTTTAGATTAAAAAGCCATAAATTCATTCTTTATGTGTCCATATCTCACATAAAATATGTGCACAAGTATTGTTACAGTCTAAATATAAACTGAAAAGCATCCTGATTTTCATTAAATTGTCACTTTCCAAAATTATGCCTTTTAACTTCTGATTTTTTTCTTTTAAAAATGTTTTTCTTGTGATAAGTTTTATCTTTTTGAAGTTTTACCAACCACAGCAAAAAAACCAGCAACAATCCTTAAAGAAGGTCTGACAGAACAATCTTGTATTTGTACAGAGTCCTAAGCAACAAATTCCACCATCTCTAACTGAAATGAAGCACTGTAAAAATCGAGATTATAAGCAAAGCTAAAATCCTGTGCCTCACAGTATGGTTCCCCAGAACTCCTAAAATCATAAGGAGGAAACAGGTAACTTCTTAAAATATTAATTGCTATCTTTGTTTTTTCTGAGTCTAGGAGTGGACAGAGACTGTGATTTATTAAGGCTTTGATAAAGTCCTTTCATGAATTCTGTCACACAAATTTCAAGGTAGTCTGTCTCTGGAAGTATTTTCACAGACTTCTCTTATCTGCAGTTCCAAATACTAATAGTAAAAAGGCTTCTTCTATTTCTTTGGAGTTAAACATCTTTTATCTCCTGAAAATAGCTGAAACATCCAACAAGAAGGGGAAGAAAATAACTAACATGTTGAGCTGAGCAAAACTAAAACAATTGCAAAGCAATTTACACTAAATTAATTATTGGTTATATTGAATTTTTGTTTCTTTCATCTTTGGGGGAAAAAAAAATCAAAGCATTTCATATCTTTCCAAGGTACCTCTGGGGCTGCATATTGCATTATCACGCGATCATTCTGTTTGCTTTAGCTGCCTCCTTTTCCCTCCCAGAACCCCAGGGAGGATTTATTTTTGGGGAGCTGTGAAGCATAATGAGAGTGTATCCGTCCCCCACATGTGGAGCACAAAGGAAGGGCTCTGTAGCAGGGAGCAGGCTGTGCTCCCTGTGGCTGCTCCAGGTTGTGCCACCTGCTCAGGGCTGCTGGTGGTGGTGTCCCCAGTTCCCAGTACCCAAAAGTCCTGCTGTGTTTCCTTTCACAAGGTGGTAAAGGCACCCTCTGCCAGCAGCTTTTCTAGTTCTGGATCCGTTCTGACTCAGAAATGAGCGAGTTTTAATATTTTTGCTCTTGAATGTTTGATGACCTGCTGAAAATGAGCTGATGTTTCTCATTCTTTGGGTGTGAGATGCGTGTTGTGTAACTGGTGTTGATCGGTCACCTTTGCGGAGATGTCAGGACCGCAGTAGTCTTGTGGGTATCTGCTACTGTATCCTTAAGAATTGTTCCCTTCACCTTAGATCTTCACCAGGATTGCTAGGAAAAACCCTCCTGCTGTCCTGGAATCCCTTCTTAGGTCAAACACAATACTTGCATCAAGGCTACGGAAGACTCTGTGTTGTTTCTACCTTTAAAGGAGTTGAATTTTGCTTTCTAAAAAGGCAGTGATACATTTCATAGTAGGGTTTGTAGATCAGTTTTTATTTTTGACTATGATTTCCAAATGAAGTTATTTTGAATCTCAAGGAATAATGCACAGACTTTTGCTAACCAAGTGACTTCTCTTTCTGCTCTGGTAAGCTTCAGAGATTACTTTTAGAGGAAAATTTCCTGCCTAGTCAATGCTTACAATTTTCTGTGTGGTTTAGGACAGTTCTCTCCCATGTTGAAGTCCCAAAAGGCAAGTTGTGTCCATTGACTCAGAACAAAAACAAATGATGCAATTCATTTCTAAATGGGACAGAAAGCAGAGGATTGACCTAAGCATTTTAATGGCTTGAAATGTGGTGCATAGGCCTATAGATACACACTTCTGTAGGAGTAAATATGTAATTAGTAGTACAGCTGACAATCAACTACTATTTGTTTGAGTAGCTGATTGTAACTGATGGCCCTCTGATTTATAATATGTTATATAAATTAATTCCAGCAAAACAATTATTAATTCTTTAACAGACAAGAAAAAATCATGGTTTCATCAATCAATCCTTCAAGCCAGGTAATAAAACCTTAAGGCATCATGACCTCCATGTACTTTAAACAATCCATGTCTGCAATCTCTTGATGAATCTTCCTGGTAGTACTCTCCACTTTCTCATCTTTCATTTGTTTTGCTTGTTTATATCCTTCCTGAATCCACTTTGCCACTGTACTTTTTAGAATGTTGTGTATGACTGGCCATTCTTGTAGATACTGTTAGTCATGTCCCTATAAAGGAGAATATGGGACAGACACAGGAGAATCGCCACATTCACCTTATCTTAAGCAGTAGTAAATGCTGAAAAACTGAAGCCACAACAGTTAGGAGTACTTTCAATTGGAAGAATAATTCTGTGTTAAGTATTGCACAGTTATGGAGCCAGAAGACTAGAAAGATCAATCTGTTTCAGTGTTGTCCTCCTTCTTAGAAGTTTTTCTTTTTCCTCCTGCACATTTGAAGGTACCATAGTTAAAAGTGTTCTGTCATAGAAAATGTAAGTGGGGAAAGGCATTACCAAACCAATTTTACAAATGAATAATCTCAAATACGAAGTATCTAAAATTCACTGCAATCAAAGCTGAGAAAATTATCTGGTTCTCATAATATCTAATTTAATGTCATATCCACTGAACCATACCGCTTCTTTGAGACACCTGGTGAATCAGAGTGCTCAAGGTGGTCCTGTAATTACATAGTCACATGTTTTCATATGAAATGTTTTGTTTGATAATTATACAAAGGATGATGAGTCTATTGTGAAATCCATTTGGATGTTTCTTGCAATTTTGTGTCATTGAAACTTCATGCAATATTATGGGTATTTTAAGCAACCATGAAGTTACATGTTTTTCTTTTAGAGAATACAGCACAGCACAGATTGATTTTTTTTTCACATTTTAATACTTACGTATCAAAGTAACTTTCCTTTCTCACCAAGGACAATTATTTTTAAAGGTACATTTTAAGAAGCTAACAAGCACTTACAATTGCCAGTCTCAAGCCTAAAAACAGTCACGAATTATGTTTGCAAGAATGGAAAATGAAAACTTTTACAAAGATGAAGATAACTTGCAGAAAAGCAGTGTACTTCTGTCTCTGTTTATTATTACTCTTTGGTCATTTCCTTGTGCAAGTACCTAAAGACTAAGAGTAGTAATAGAAAGAAAAGAAAGATCTAGAGGAGTAATGGAAGAGACAGAATGAGAAAGAATAGCTGATTCATAAGAAGACCCAAGCTGTTGAATTTCCATGATTAGTGATTTGATATAATGTAGAAAGTCAAATCTCAGAGCGTTCCTACAGATTAGTTCTTCTCAAGAAGAGAAGAGGTCCCATCTACAGGTGAACTTATGGGAAGGTAGATATATATAGGCAACATATATACAGGTTAAGAAGTCCCTAAAACATTGGTATTATTAAAATTGGTAATATTGCCATTATAATTTAACCAGAATTGGGCAAAAGCAGACAATGCATCAGATGCTGATAAAATCTCCAGTGAACAAGACAGTATGGAAATGTATGCTTGAAAAATATATTAATAACATTGTTGAAAGTGACAGGCATGCATTTTATGTAAATCTGAGATTTGCTGGAAGATGAAAGTTCTGTAGAACATGGACTCTCTGGAGGTGGAGCTCTCTAGGAAGTTTGCTTTGCTTTTCTTGACAATTGATTGATACTGACAGAACTAACCACATTTTAATGCAATTTATAGAGTCAAACATGTCAAAGAAAGCTCAAAAATTAATTAAGAAACCATCTAAAATGCAAATTAGATAAATAATTAATTTATTAGTTGTTGTATTGTTGCTTCAAAACATTTTAAAAAAACTTGTGTCATGAGACCCTGCATCTTCATGGTTTCAAAGACAAACTGACATTCATTTCCTCCTCCACTTACTTTTTAATTGAAGCAAGTTACTTGTCAAAGCGTTCTGGTTGATGGAACTCTGCCAGCCTATTTTATTATAACACATTTTTATTCACAATGAGAGAAAAGGTTATTGCACATGTCATATCTTTATTATACTTGAAAAGCTGTAAAGCATGTATCCTAAAATGAAACAGAAAGTGATATATCAAATTATCTTTCCATTATCCTCAACAGATAAGAGCTGAGATACTGTATGACAAAACAGTGCTGAGTGGACACTGACATTCCATGGTGATTCATTTTGGTTTTTGCCTTTACTTCCCAGGAGAAAGAACATTAAATACACAGTTCCACAGGAAAACTTGAAGACTGATGTAAGTGATGTGCTCATCAGTGGGAAAAGCTGTCGTACTGTTGTTGGACTTGCTTACCCAATTTGAACTGGAGAGGAGCTCAATAAAAATAAGGGAATCCTTGTTACTCTGAAAAAAACCTTTATCTACATATATACAATGTGGCTGCACACAATTTTGAGTGGAAAAAAAAAACAACCTGAAATTCCTTTCCCAAACTATGGAAATGGAAATATGATTTCAATTTTAAAAGAACTTCTAATTAGCAATGTGCATGTGTTTATGCACAGATTAAAAAAAGAACTGATTTGATCAGGATCTCTGAATACTACAAATATATTAACACGTGTTGTATACTAAACTCAGAAAAAATTACTTTTAACTACCTGTGAAATTTCTTCACCTACTGAGCCTTTTTTTTCTTCTTTATTTGGCTTTGATGTTAATTGGCAGGAAAGAGTGTGATTCAGAAATTGCAGAGTAAATATAAGCTCCATGCATATTCACCCTTCAACATGCAAAGATAAAGTCATGGAGGTACCAAGTAAGCTCAAAAATTAAAAATTACCACTGGGTATTTTGTTCAGGACACTGGGGCAGGATATTCTAATCAGTTCCCTTTATTTTCAGAAGGATTTTTATTGAGTCTCAAAATTTTATTTCTATATACACCAACAAAATGCAACTAATAAATTTATATTGCAATATTTTAACATCAAATCAGAAGAAATTAGCAAAAAAGAGCTATTTGTACTGAAAACAAATGAATTGTAAAACTAAAAAATTAACAGCAATGACAAGCATATTGTCTAGTTCTGGGATTGTCAGACACAACGAAAAAAGAAAATGAAGACTGGACTTTGGCAATATTTCATCTGTGTAGTAGAACATTTTATTAGCTGAGTTTTATGGCCCTTTTTGCAACAATGAGAAGGAACAGAACAGTGTCCAGATTAGCAGCCATTAGTGCTACCGTAAGTCATTTAAAAACAAGACAATTCTTCAGAGAACCACTAAACTTGTCAGTGGTCCACCTTTAAATAACATTTAGTATTAATCTTGAAGCCACAGGAAGAGCACAAGTATTTCTGCATGAAATATCATATTTAAAATAATACCTACAAAATAGATTTCCTGAAAAAATCCATGGCCATGTTATGTGAAGAAGCCAGATGATCTCTTTTGTGCTAGAAGGAAATAGAAAAGGTTAGACAATTTTTCATTTGTTTTGTTTGTCTAGGCAACAGGGAGCCCTGGCACAAAACCAGAAAAAGAGATTCATAAATTTGCAAGATTTTAAGTAAAAAATGTGGATACATATGTCTTGTATAGATTGAAAGCACAGCAGAAAGTTTCAGGAGACCTCTGTATCAGTACCTTTATCATTATGTGAGACTGCTATTGTAGGATCATGAAAAAGCAGAACACTTATTTGAGTCATGGTTATTTGTACAGTTCCATTGATTGAATTGTAGATTTTTTTATTAACAAAAAATAAAAAGTGGTACACTGAAGTCTCAAAAAGCCAGGGTCCACAAGCCAAGTGCAAATCACATGTTAAGACATGATACATGATGACGGGAAACAGCCCTAGAACCATAAAATGCTGAAGGAAATAACATACAGTTTTCTTCCTGCCCTTTTGCATTCACTGAAAGGCCATTCAAAGAAATTTTACTTGAAAGATCAAAATAGGATGAGATACTCAATGATTCCTTTTCTTCACAAAACACAAAGGGCAACATTTATAACTTTATCTCAAAAGTCTTTCTGTTTGAGAAGTGGTACATTTTGGAAGCTAGGATTGTGTCTTAGGAACTTTTTACCTGGAATCAGCTTCAAGAAATCAAAGAGAAAGAGAAATTTGTGCCTTTGAGCCAGTTGTTTGGTCAGCATCAATCTTCTGGTTTTTTCAGTGTGCTATGAAGTCTTCAAACACTTTTGAATGCTGCATCTGTAGCATGTGAGGGACTGGAACTGTCAAACCTATTAAATCACACAGCTGTTGAATGGACCTTGGGCTCTGTTGTTCTTAGCTCTTGGATATTTATTTGCATGTGAAAGGACAAACTTGGCCTCTGTATGTGCAAGATTCTGCATGCTATAATTTATAGAGATACAGCATAACTTTTACATTTTTAAACCAGATACCAGTATTGAGCAAATATATGACCTTAAGTACCAGTAATTTCATCATCTTCCTGCTGCTTTCCACCACTTCTTCTTTTTTTTTTTTTTTTAAGGCAGATGAATGTAACTGTATATAGTTATGTTCTCATTTCCAAAGGTCTCTAACTCCTGGTTCTATTTATGGACTAAGAGGATTTAATGGACTATAAGACCTTTCCGCATGAGGAACCAAGCTGTGCTCCTGCAGAATGTCAACTCCTTCAATGAGCAGAGAAGCAAATGGAAGGCTGATTAATTGGAAAATGCCTCTTTTCAGGTAGTGGTAACACGTTTTGAAACTTTTACCTGACTGGCCTATTTTGGCTGATGCTCATGCCCTCCAATTGGAATGTCACTGTACCCATGGATTGTGAAATGTGTCTCCACCTACTTTGTTTTCTGCTACTTTAATCCACTGGGCATATAAAAAAAAGACTCTGCAATTAGTCCCCAGCAGATGTCCACTGACTGTAGCCAACTGAATTGCGGTGAGTTAAATCTGTTGATCCTTCACCTTTGATTATGCGCTTGCACAGACTCAAAAGAGCCTCACAGACACATATCTGGAAACTGAGCAAAGTACACAACTTTTATTCTAATGACTGTGAAATGGAAGACCTTTCAGTAATGTCACTGAAAGGTAAGGTAAGATAATTTTACACTAGGTTTGTGATGACACAAATTACTACCTGTAGTACTTGATGAGAGAGCATTTGGTTGGAACTGGCAAGTCCCTCATCTCTCCCTTTATTCTAGTTGGGGGTGGAAGCTGTGAATGTTTTTCTGATTTCATTCAGACCTGCTATAATAAAAATATTTCGATTACTGAAAACCTGAGAGTTTGCCTCTTCTCACCAACGGATATAATTAACCTTCACATGCAAGTAAACATCATTCATTTGTGGCAACATTTTGGAAAATGTGCATGATAGCCACAGTGCTAGTGTATGGTAATCATCCCTAATCATTTGTTGATTTGGAAAAATCATTTGCTGATTCGGATAAAGCATTGCTTCACCGAGATCTCTGATGTTTTCTGCTGGCACATCTTGGTTCAGGTGTTTGGAGGCTTAGTGGCTGAAGAAGTTTGTGTTCTGCCAAAACCACATGGGATGGTTGCTTGGTAACGATACTTGTGGCATAAAAAGTATTGCATCAGGCATATGCCTCTTCCTATCTCGTTTTAGGGGACAGGGAAGAATTACAGAGAAGATATATTTCATTTAAGGAGCCTGGAAGATCTAGAAGAATTGTTACCTGAGAGGTGAAGCTGAAAAGGGAATGCTTTGAAACCAATATATCACTGGAGCCTGCCTTCAGTAAACCACTGCAGAATTAAATTTAACTTCCATTGTAACTCTCTAGATAGCTGCCAAGGGAAAATAACCTGCTTCTAGCTACATGCTGAGAGTTCAATCCCAGCAAGGCAACCACCTGCTTTGGAGAGCAGTTTAGGGGTAAGGTCCTCCACATTTTGGCCTCAGGGGGACTTCCAATACCTTTAAACATTAACCAGCTAGGCCATATGTTGCAGTCTGTAGCTGTAACACTCACCAGGCACTGCAGCAGTCTCGTCTCTCAAGGGGAAACACAGCACCCCACAGAAGCCTGAGTGTTTGGTGACAGTTTGTCCAAGGCTCCCTTTGCTCCCATGACCCACGCAGCTCTCTGTGCCAAGATGACCAGTACCCAAATCCACAGACTGACAGCAGCAGTAGTATTTGAACAGATAAGACCTTTATTATATCTCTGTAAGGACCAGAGACATATTACTTCTTCTTCATCATCTCAGCTGTTCCACCATTTTATTAGTAGGTTTATTCCTGTGTCTATCCACTTGCTGAGGGAGTGAAATTACATTCTTTAGTAACCGATACAGGCTAAACAAGTGACAGCAATGCTTAGATAGATTGAAGGTGTACCTTACCTCCTGATCTAATGACATCACTGGCAATTACCATGGCTGTCAAACGGCAGTTTGGAAACAGAGAGCATGTGTGAAGGGTCTGAGGATCCTTCTTAAAGGAAGACCTTTAAAGCATGTCCAGTTCTGCTTGTTTTGAGGATGGACAGAAGTCTGCTGGTCCCAAAGGATAAAGATTACTTGAGCTTGGAAAAAAAATGTGACGTACTACAGAACCACTTACCAGCCAAGGTCGGAAGGGACCTCCAGAAACTGTCTAGTTCAATCTCACCACTCAGAGGAGTGTCAGCTAGAGCCTGTTGTCCAGCATTGTGTCCAGTGCTTATTTCGGAGGAACTGTAGTCCATGGCTTTTACTCTTTTCAAGCATCTCTTGGGTACTCTGAAGTTCACTGTGATTTATACCATAAAGCCAGATGTGTGGGCAGGTCAAAAGAGATAGGGTCTTCTAGTCCAAGTCCCTCCTCATTACAGTCAGAGATGTTTATCTGTTAATTGTGGCATCAAGTCCAATAATCTCTGGATTAGAGCAAATCTTTCAAGCTGACATTTTAATCTTGACTTTAAAACTCCAAGTGACAGAGAAGCCAAAACAACCCCTGGACAAATTATTCTGATGATTAATTACCTCTTCTATTAAAAAAAAAAAAAAGCACAGTATTTGAAGTTTTCTCAGGAATACGATATGCATGTCTGCTAGATTAAAAAGACTTCTATTGTCAGGATTTTTCCCCCAGATAAATATTTATGAACCATGATATTCATACTTTTATATGCTCTTGGCTAAGATATATCCATAGCAGTCATAGCATAGCAGTCCATGCAATTTTAATAATTATTGCATCACTTTTTGCTCTGGTCCTACTTAAATAGATTTGATGTGATCCATCATTCTATAAAGAATTGAAAGAAAAGTAAGCAGTGCTGGTTAGCCACTCTGAAGTGGGGGAAAAAAAAAATCTAAATCTTGCAGCGAAGTTTGTCATCAAATCTCCTGTGGCCAGAATCACATTTTCTACATTTTGTTGTCATTAGATGGAAACTTAACCTTGGGCACAGAATGATTTCAAATAAACAGTTGCTGAACACTAGGGAGACAGGAGGTTGTGTAGTGCTTGTGTGTTCAACTCTAGCAAAGTTGTTTTATTTTTTTTCATTGCTAACCCAGTTTAATCCAGCATAACTTGTATTTTATAATTGCATTACCTGAAGGGTAAAATATGTCTGGGGATAGCTATATTCTGTCCAGGGAAAGGACTCATGCAGGCAGAGTCCAGAATCCATTATACCCTAGCACCTGCCACTCCTTTTTTTCCTAATTCCCTCCCCATGCCAAAATTCTTCAATCACATCAATAGAATCCTGGAAAAAAGAGAGCCTGGAAATATTTTAAAGTTATGACAGCAGACAGTCTGACAGGGTCTGCTTCTGAATTAGCTAACCATGATTCTATCAGTCCCAACTGCAGACTGCAGATTTATGGCACCAGCATGAAGCCTGCTTTTAGAGAGCTGGAGGCTTTATTGATCAACAGTAGTAATTTTTTTCCTGCTGGAAACAACATCAGGTGTAGAACACTGGCTCGCTGAATTCTTTATAAATTACTATCTTCCTAATAATGCTGAAATTTTGATAATCTCTCAAATTCTTTTCTTAGAGCCAATGCCAAAAGTCTTCACAGAGTTTCTCCCTAAGCATCTGCAAGCAAATTGGGATCTCACAGTAATCCAAAACTGGGAAAGAAACTCAGTATCAGACTCACACCACATCAGTGAGCATGTCTGACAGTGGTCATCCTGTCTTCATGCCTGAATAATAAGTTGTACCAGCTCTGCCACACATTGCTGCAGCCACTTCCTGTGAGAGAAAACTCTCCAGCACCTACCACTGCTTGTTGCTGGAGACAGGTAACTGTGAAGAACCTGAGACACCAGGCTAACATCCACTTTGTCATGAAGGACAGGTAAAACCAGCTTTCTGAATAAATTTATCTAGTAACATTCCAAAACCCACTGAAGACTCTGAAATTTCACCTGCTTAGCTTGGTGTTTATAATTCTTCAGAAAATTAATCAAGCTTTCTCAGGGCCAGTCTCCAGTGAGCACCCCAAGATGAGCTGCAGTGTAGGCTGCCTGCAGCCATAGCCTGGCTCTCTGGAGCTGCAGCAGCCACACTCAGTGTCACAGGTGCACAAACATTTACCTTTGGGAAATCAACACCAGCTAATTACTATTTATATTTTCAGTTACAGGTGAATAGGCGTAAATTTCTCTACTCCTCTGTGCAAATCCCTGGATTATAATTAAAATATCAGCACTGTTTTTAAGAGCTTCTCTCTCCAGTCCCTGTACTGAGCCTAGTAGATTACCAGTTACACTTCCCAGCCAGTCACACGTTCCCTGCACAGCTGTCTTCTCTGTGCTACGTGGTGGAGGTGGTTTAAACAAAAACCACAGGAGAGGAACATTGTAACCAGCCTGGAATAATGCACAATTGGCTGGAAGACCCGAGGCACTTGGCAGTGGCTGGGCTGCAAAAGCAGACATAAATGCCAAATAATATAGCTACTGTCCTCTTTGAGCCAGAACAGAGGCACACAGCAGGAAAATACCTATGAAAGATGGTATCCTAAAAGAACAACTTGTTTGTTCAACCCAGAGATGGATGTTTGGATGCACTGTTTACTCTCTCCTGCTTTTCCCCACACACACGGACCAAACTTTTGCCTGGCCTCAAACCCATTTCAAAGTATCAGTATTTGGTGCCATCCCTAATGAACTTTTTCCTTCTTCATTGACTGTGATTCTTAGTAACCTGATGGTGGTATATTGAGAGAAGAGAGACTTGATTTCTCCACCAGGAGACCCAGTAGAGAAGACAGATTTGTCTGTTTAAAGAAAAAATTACGGCTGTGGTTCTCCTTGCCACCAGCCCTCTACTTTTCCTTTCAATCTCCTGACTATCCACAGCCAACTTCTAGGCACATACTTCCCTGACACTGGAGAACTGTCAGTCAGAAGATGTATCTGCTTCATACATATAGTTATACTCTGTATTGCTGACTAGTAGCAACAAAGTGTGGGAATAAGCATCAGTAAATGACCCTGTTTAGATTTTCTTCAGAAAGAAAAACAGAAGGTTTCCCTGGAGTAGCTGGGAGAAAGGAAACAGCAAACTGATAAAAAAAGTAATTTACTAGTAATAAGGAGAAATATCCAGAAGTGTTCATTGTCTACATGTGAATAAAAAACAAAATATAAAGCAGATGCTCCAATCTCCTAATTCTCATGGGAAATTCAGGTGGAAAATTCATCAATTTATTATTTACTTGCTTTATAGTAATATAAAAAACACTGCCTTTGCTTTATTTCTGCAGACTATAAAGAACAGAACCTGTGTCATGACCCATCCACAATCATCCTCAAATGTGAACTGTGTAAGCAACAGTACTCTGTGCTGTACTAAAATAAATATGCACCTTTTCTTACTTCAGAATATTTTAGCAAATATCCTTGCATAAGATCTAAAGCCAGTCTGCACTCCTTAACTCTGTCTTTGTTCATGGAGAGCTCAGGAGAATTTTATTTTAGACTTACCAAGCTCTATCAGAACTACAATGTCATAAGCTTTATATTAAATATAGTTAGTTGTCAGCACTATCAATTTACGTCTTTGGTGGTGTTGTATCATTAATACAAAAGGAGAAACTTCTAAGAG